TCGGTTTCAATCGAATTATTAATCCGCAATAAACCCAACTATCAAATGACTTTATGTACTTTTGGACTGTTTTTTTAATAATGCGATTAAGCTCTGGAATTCTCTCCCATTGTCCTTAAAGACAGTTACAAAACACTTCTTTTTAATTACTTTTCGTCAAAAAGTTGAAAGTTGAAAAAAATGAAGAAAATAATGATTATAAACTGACCTTTTTTCAAGAACGCATTGTTTGTTACTTAAACATTTTCAATTCAATAATGGCTTACACTTATTATTTTATTTTGTTTCAGGTTTTTTATCATTATGTAAGAAAAGATTGTGTCTTAATGCATAATGCACTAATGTTTTCAATCCAAATTAATAAAAAAAAGTAAATAAATATGTTCTGGCCGATTCTTGCTTTGAGAAATTTACTGTTTATTAATTTATAGCATATCTTAGGGCGCACTAAATTTAAAAATTCAATTAATAGCAACCGACAGCTGTATACAGTGTGCTTTACACATAAAAATAGCAAAAATAGTAAAAACAACGCAGAACCACTTTTCAATGTGTACGCACATACTTGTTTGTGTGTGACTGTGTGAGGGCAGAGCTTCATAGTAGCGTGGCGTCATAACTTTCAATTAAAGATCCTGCTATTCACCGCCGTCGCTACGCTAATACCATTTAACTCTCAACTGTCGACTGTGTCTGCTGCAACTGAGCTGACCAGCGCCCTCAGCAGCAACAACAATTATGCTCACTTGCACCAATTAAATCCTTGAATTTATTGGCCACAGGATAATAGCGGTACAAAGGGTTTCACTATCAAACCAAACAAGCGAGCACAAAGTGCTTTCGCTGTGAATTGGAGAAGTGAGGGGCGTGTGGAAGTCTTTTAAATAAATAAATAAGTAAATAAACAAAAAAATAAAATAAATAAAAGATAAAAGACAACACAAATTTATAGCAGCTTTTTGGGGGTTTTTGCTGGAAAAATTGCAAAAAGGCTGCGCTGTGTTAAGTGGAAGTTATGGCGGAAGACAAAAGGATGTAGGTAAGGTAGAATAAAAAAAAAAAACTAGAATAAATGTGACAAAAGCACGCGACTCATACAAATACACAAACAGTGAAAGTGAATAGACGCGCAATACTCGTTCCCCTAATAGAGGACAGGATACCCAGCAGATACCTGGTTCTGTGTAAAAAAGAGAAAATAGAAACATATGTACATATGTATACGTAAACAAAACAAAATAAATAGCAAAAACATTAATAAAGGGCGAATGATAAAAATCCATTTCTGTTTTCTTTTAATTTCCTTAATGGATTAAAGGGACGGCCCAGACGGCAGCTTCGTGAGGGAATATAAGAGTGAAGGGGAAAAAGCTGAAAATTATTGTTTGTATTTGATTTCTATGTTAGTTTATGGTGAAAAAACTCCAATTACCGAAAGCGCTAACAAATATTTGTTTAGCAAAAAAAAAAAAAGAAAAAAAAAACATTTTTTTTTTTTTTTGATATTTGATAATGCAAAGAAAAGGGATGCCGTCGGATTGGCTCGAAAAAAATTAGAATAAATTATTATATTTTATTTCCTAAGAAATATTGTGTACACATTATATTGTATGTAAGAAAGTAATTTTTATTAATTATTTAACGTTCACAAATACTTTTCTTATAGATGTCTGTCTAACGGTGTTTCGAGCGAAAACCACATATTTGAGAATCTTGGTATATGGGATCTAAATGTTACAGTCGACCGACTTCGATAAATTTCAGCACTAATGTGATGGTTTTTTGGCAAATTCATGACCACAAATATCTAATCTGAAATATCGGTCTTATATAATATATTTGTGAGATAGTGTTGTGATCTTGCCGGTACCAACAAATTATCGTTTAAATCATTCCATCGCATCTGTGTGCCAAGGTTGGTTCAAATATCTCAAAATCTGAGAGAATAGTTTGCGTACAAATAGACTAACAGACGGATCAACTCAACTCGTCATTCCTCTCGTATCGGTAAAAATTTTTTGAATCGATCTCCTCCTCTTCTTGTTTATACTTTAGACCAAATGCCCTTTCCAGTACTTTTAATGTATAAAAAGCTAATTTTCTGTTCGGTATAAAACACCAACAACTCCAGTAAAAGCTTTGTACGTACAACAACAACTCATAAATCACAACCCTTGTAATCCGACACCTTTATCCCCTTGAAGATCAGCCAACTTGCCATAATTCCGCAATTCCAGCTTCGCTCTTCTCATCCCCAAAGCGTAAAAATGAAAAATCGTGCTCATTATGTACTTCGCGCTCCACAGTGAGATAATTTGCACAACAACAGCGCTACAGAAGAACCAATTAATACCACAATTACTTCAGACGAAAAGTTCGAGCGCAAACTCAACAAAGGAAATATAGCGGAAGGAAAACAAAAGAGCAATCTAACGGATATGAACAGGAAGTGTAAGGAGGCAAGATGGGCCGACCAACCAATCAAACTAAAGGAGAACAATGAATGACGGAAGGAAACAGGCAGGAAAAAGAAGCCAGAGCAGCGAAAAGATTATCGTAAAATAAAGACTAGCGAAGAAAGCTGTTAAGCGGCCCATCTGGAAAAGAACAACAGTCAGCAAAGCAAGAGTAAGTGAGAGCGGAAATATTTGACTACACAAAACTAAATCAATTTCACGCTTTTGAGTATACAAAAGGCAATATATGTGCTTGTGTGTTCGCCATTATCCATTCTATACACAACCTGATTGACCAGCGATAGGCACACACTTGTGAAGAACTTAAATTACCGAGAATCACGCGATTAGTTGAAGAGCTGGCAGCAGGTACGGCTTAGCCTGTAAGACAAAGCATTTTTAGCCAGGTAATTTTATGGCCATTTTATAGACAATTTTCTAAGAACATCAGTCAAGGTGCGCTAAAAATGGCATACTAAATGTAAATGTAAACACAAGCGCATAAAGCCGTGAATGTCCATACTGAGATATTTTGAGCGGTCAGTTTATTTCACTTAAATTCATCTGAAGCCAGTTAACCGCCTTAAAATATCCCACCGAACAATCTGCCAGTAGACATTTTATTACAATGTAACAGAGCAGAGAGAGGTGTGGCGTGATACAGACTCACCACAGGTAGATTCAACATTCCATGTTAGCTCGGCAAGTGAAATATAATACTAATGCTGCAACTACCCATTTTACGTACCTCACAGCCGTGGCACCCGACTGGAAGAGGGATATGCATACACGAGTTATCGGCGCTGCAGTACACTATACTTTAAGCGAAAAAAGACTGTCTGGACGGCCGTTCCTAACTGTCGTTACATGCAGCCAGGCCATGAGTAACCATTTCTATCGTCTTTTTCCATTTCTTTTTTTTTTTAGTTATTTTAGGCTAACACTCCCTTGAAGCTTTATTAAAGTTTTTTTAAAAAAAAAAAAAAGAACAATACTTAGATGTGGTCGCTATGTGAGCGGGCAACGAGAAAAGATAACCTAGCTTGAGTGGAATGAGTAACTAATACACCGACTAACTGTCCATAGGCAAAACCGGATGATGAAAACATTGTTGGATAGCCGCCGCATGCAAGAGCAAATAAAAAATGTAAAAGGCAAATAGAAATATTATAGCACAGCCATTTCGTTGCTTAGACCTATTTATATATATATATATATATATATATATATATCTGTGTATTTCGTCGGCAGTTCCCAATGTTCACAGTAGTTTAAAAAACAATAATGAACAATTTAATTTTTCCACTTTTAAAGCAACAGCGTATGAAACTAGCTCGAAATGAACTGACAGCTGCTGTAGTAACAGGTAATAGCAAGCAATTGGGCATGAAACCGCCTCCCAACACTTATATGCCTGGAGTGAAGAAGTAGCTGAGAATTACAGGACTGCAAGTGAGATGATTACAAAGAAATGAGCAATTTTTTCGCACAGAACTAAATTTTCAATTTGTCCCTACGAAACCTTGCGACATTGCGACATCACAACTAAATTTCTTACTTATACAGTTATATGATATGTTCATACTTTACTTTGCGCCACACTTTATTAATACCATGCAACAATTGATAGCTCCCTAAAGAGCAGTTCTACAAACATTAGACGGTGCTCATTATACGCAAATTGCAAGAAACCAACGCAGTTGACTCAGTGTGCGCCACTTTCACCCATATCTTGCTAGAGCAAAGTGCTTATGTTAATAAAATGAATAAGAAATGTGCGTAAGAAAAATAAAGGTAAGCACACAAATAAACGGTCTACGAAAATAACTTTTAGAAGACAAAGACTTGTACTGAGAAAATTGCCGATGGGCAAACGAAGGCTGACAGCCAATTGACCAGCTGACAAATAGACTACCAGAGTCCGGCAAGAAGAACGTTTTTATGTGATATAAACATTTTATGTCCTTGAAAATGATGAAGGGAGTTCAGACGTTTTCTTCGGCAAAAAAAAAGACTTTAAGGGCAAATATATTTTTAAGGGTTAATGGAGGGCAAGCTTAATGTCCAAAGCGCACTGATGAGCAAGAATGTGGAAAAACACGAGAAGTAAATTATAATTGTAGAACTTGGAAGGTTTTTAAAAGCTTTCGATTCAGCTTTCACTTAAGTTTCTTTTTATGAATTAAAACTCTTTACCTTAGTGACCCCCAACATCAAAGAAAAACAAAAATATACTAAAGCTTTCAAGCTGCATGTATTGGAAAACATGAACGGATATTTGCGTGTCACTAATTTTGATAATATAAATAATAAAAAATTAAACTAAGGCACAACATAAGCATTTGCATACTGTAGCGAGGACAAGTAGCTACTTTCGACAGATTAGTTGAGCTCTTAATTTCGATGAATTTATCAAATAAATAGTTTAAATGACTTAGTTGGTCTGAGAAGTACGTACAGAAGTACAAAGGAAAAATAAATATAAATTAAATAAATATAAATTAATTAAATATAAAAATTACGAAACAGAAAAAGCATTCTTACAGCAACATTTCCATAATCCACGCCAAGTGCAGAGCTAGTTGAACTTACCTAAAATGAAAAGTTGAAAATTTATATTAGAAAATATGTAGTAAGTTTTTGAACATTTTTGATGTATATGTACTTATGTATTATATAAATAATATTATAAATCTGTCGGTATAATTTTGAAAGCTACACGTGGCAGTGAAGTATGTAGATACAGCCGTTTTATTCTCCTACATTAAATATGAATTTATTTGTAAAACCTATGAACTTGCCACAAAAGGTAATCGAACGAAGTATAATAAAGACAGGAACAAAAGCTAACGGTTATGCAAATTATATTTACATTATGCCAGGCCTACTCAAAAATCCATTAAAAATTTGCATAAATCCAAAAATATACACACGAAAAAATTGCTTTTAATGAAATAATGTGGAGATGTGAAGCGAACAAAGTAACAAAAAAGCATAAAATCTGCACACAGAGTGAAGTGGAGCAAATTAATACGAGCTCACAAAATCAATGAACTATGTAAAAGTAATGAGCAAGAGTCATTTGGAATGAAAAGTTAGAATAAAAGCGAAATAGTAGAGGATATAACAGTGGACAGTTTTTAGCAGGCATTCAGGCGGAGTATATTTTTTGTAGAGAATATGTGTAGCTAAGGAAGTGTAAGAGATCGACTGCTCAGTAGCATGAACAAATGAAATTGAAACGAAGAAATTGACAAAAGCTGTCTTTAATTTACATCAAATCAATTTTCATAAGCTCGCTTGTATGTGTGGCACAAATACTTGCAACATACATGACAAGCAATAACGAAAGGAAACGCGTGGCTCATGAGGCACATACACATACATATGACATTTCTAGGCATTTTAAGGCACGAAGAGTACAATATGCCTGCATAATGATATCCCAGTGAATTTGATGCCCTGGGCAGGCACAAGGGAACGTATGTAAGCAAATACAATAATACCAAAATGATACTTGCGACACATACACACACTACACATGCACACACTAACATACACGTGCCCTCATTCATACATATGTATGCATGCATGCATATTAGTGTGTAATATTGAATGAGTGTGCTGTTGTTAGCAATGCTTGCAACGAAATGTTGTTCATGTTATTTTTCCGCTCGCCTGCCCACCACCAGCGACGTACGCATATATTCCACATAGTTATGTATGCCCATATATATGTATGTATGAGTATATCCTACAGCACAATTTGCCGACTTTTAGGCGCACCAACAACAGCAACAACTGACGGTTGAGAACTCATATTCAAATCTATCGATTTGGCGCTGCTTTTGCGATCTGTGTGCATATTGTTATTGATGTTGCGGAAGTGACTGCACAGGGAAGCAGTCAACACAGGCACACACACTAAGAGAATGTTGTTTGTAGGTGGCAGGTGTCGTCAAGCAAACTCACAAACACTTACAACCGACACAACGTCTCTCTGCCAGCGTCACAAGTGTATTTAGAAAACAGTCAGGCAGGCGTATCGATGCCAATTCTATTAAAATTGTTGACGCCAATGGAGCTGAACACATTCGATGGAAAACACTTGCACGCAGGCACATATGCTCACCGAATATATGCATGTCTGGGTGTGAGAAGTACATTCATTTATTATATACATACAGCAACGTGCCGTGGCAAGAGTTCGTAGCGAAAACGTGAGACAAATTCTGAAATTCTGGGCGAGGTATTGGTAAATATGCAGTGGAATTAAAAAAACAAGTTTTGGACTAAAAATATATAAATATTAAATTCTATGAAAGCTTTCATCGAGCTTTCACACCATCAATTAAATTTCACGAAATGGTTTTCATAAAAATTTTAGCGAAAACTTAAGGAAAAAGTTTAAAAATCATTGAAAGTATTTAAATTTTCCATTTCTGATTTGTTTACGATCTTTGGTTTATTAGGAAAAAAAAAAATTAAATAAAAATGTATTGAGAGAAAAGGAGAACTAGGAAAAGTGAAATAAAAATTAAAAACAAAACTCGAGATAAATTAAACACTAAATTTCTGTAACCATTTCTTGGTCTTCATCAAAAGCACAAGTTGTTACGTAATTGAACTTTTGGGCCACATGTATGTATGTGTGGGTGTTTCAGTACTTTTTGTGTAATTTGATTATTTACTATTCTGACGGGCATGACAAGTTGTCTATCATTTTCCATGTCCTCTCGGCATTTGGATTTGCGTATCTTTTTATTTTTACGGTTTTCTATAAGAATTAAGGGATGGAAAAGTACTTAATCGAAGAGGATTCCTAAATCTCACTCATCGCGGCACTCATCTATTGAAAGTGAAAGTAAATCGGTTTTAATTTCATATATACGTATGTAGGAAATGTACTTTAAGCATCAGTATGTGTGAAAAAGCCCCACAAAGCTCAAAAGCAGGGTGGTCCTAAACATATTTGGCCACTGTTTTTTAGAAACAACATTTTACTAGTTTCCTATATGCAACACTTCCCTGCCATATTTTTCTCTTCGTGTGAGTGTCTGAAAACCTCGTCATTATATGCATTACAAATACACTGCATGTTTTGACATATTAGTGGGTGTGTATGTCACCTGTCACACAGCTGTTGTATACGTGTGTGCACATATGTGCGGGTTAGTATATTGCACCTCAGAACGTAATATTGCTCTGACAACTTGAATAGTTGGTTGACAACATGACCATTACGAAGTATGATATAGCAAAGTCTAGTGGAGTCGAGGTTATGTACGACAGCATTTTCGGATGTATTGTTTGCCATATCCGAAATCATGTGTACTTCGTATCCATGCAAACTGTACTTGCATGTATGTGTTATCTTATAAATAAGCATGTGTGTGTTCAGTCAAAATATTTGCTGTGCAGTTGTTTTTCTGGATAGACTAGCGAAAAAGCGGAGTAAAAATAAAGAAGAAGAAAATAAGAAGAATGAGAAACAGTGGCAAGTCCTTTCAAAAATATCAAACACACACACACACTCTCACTTGCACACTCATACATCCTTGTCATTTGGCAGCCGCCGAGTGCCTACAAATCTTATGTGAACGAACACGAATGTCCATTTTCATATTTCACCTGTGTTCACATGTCCCTTTATTTACCACACACATACGCACACAACACTGTCCACATACGTTGGACAATTTGTTTGTTTGTTTCAATTGTTATTTTACAGATTTCTGCAGACTGTTTCATAGTGCATGTTAGTGTAACAATTGTTGTAATAATTCATACGCCCTTCTGGCATTCGCTGATTTCGCCAAAAACAAAAAAAAACACAACAAAAAAAATTATTTCATGTAACGTACATATGTATATTTGCATGCTTCTTTTTGTGCTGCACTCTACTTTCATACCTCCATAGGTATTTTCGACAATGTACATTGTTACACTGTTAAATTCAGTTACCAATGCAGGTGTTGGGTCTTCGTTTTTGCACGTGTAGATATATGATTGTTTACTGCCACATTTATTTTTGAAAGTTTTATCCACTGTTATTGCCCACCAAGTCTTCATTTTCAATTCGTGGAATATACTTGGCGCTGGCTTTGTTTGTGTTGGAAAAAAACTGTTTTAGCATTTTTCAATATCAATTACTAGCAAAACAATGTGGTTTCACAAAGGAATTTAAATTTTAAAGAATTTCAAATTTCTTGGCTTATTCTTTGGTATAATCTAAAATAATATACTTAAAAAAATAAAAAATAATAACTGATTGAAGTAAAAATTAAATTCATCAATTCATGTCAATAATTTAATATTGTGATTAATGAAATCCTGACAACGATGAGGTTCAATTTAGTTAAAAATGCGGATACTAGATTACTGATTTATATAAACATACATATAATGTAAGTACACCTGTAATTATATATTTTTTGGTTTATTGAATGCCGCTTAAAAATGTCTCTTTATTCAAATTTTTATTGAGTTTTTTCTATCTTTTTAGGAAACAATTGTAGAACCTGTCAGTCAAGAGATCAAACGCTGTAATCGGGCTGTAAAGAGCACGAAGAAATATATAAAATAAAAATAAGTCACATATGTATATATATATTTGTATTTTTGAAACAAGCATATTCATGTAATATGTATGCATGAGTGCCACGCAGATACTATTTTTTCAATCTCAGTTAAACGGGTTGACAGCAAGAAAATGAGAAAAGCGAGTTTCTATAAAATAAAACGGAAATTGCGATTTTATGAAAGGGAAATGACGAAGAACAAATGTACAATAACTATTTGATATACTGGTAAACACAAACGTCAATTGGAAAATGGAAAATGCCATTTATAAAATAAAATTCGATAGCGATTGAGGAGAAGTATAAAAATCCTTATGCTTACATTTCTCCCAATTTTAAGCCTCCTGTTGTTTATTTCTTAATAGTGTGGTAAATTATCTTTTTATTTTATTTTTCCTTGTTGAAATTTTATTTATTTATTTTTTTGTTCCTTTTATCTCATAACTTTTTTATTTTTGAATTTCTAATTTTTTTGTGATTTATTTATTTTTATAAGTTTTTGGATTTTTTAAACAGAATTTTAGATATTCTAAATACTTTTTTAAATTCTTTAAATGGATATTTAAAATTTTTCAAATAATTATTTTTTTTTTATTTTCTTCTCACTTTCTATGTTTTTGTATTTTCTGTATTGTATTGTATTGTCTTACATATTTTTTTTTATATTTTAATATTTTTTATTTTAGTGTTGTTATTGTTGTTGTAGCGGTTCGTTAACCCCGCTTAGGCACAGGTTTGATCAGTCTAAGCCGCCGAGGTCATCTAGTGGGAGGTCCAGGAAACGAGCTGTTTCGACGGGGTTGGACCAAAGGGAGAGGGGGTATTAGATGAGTTGGTTTGAGAGGGCATGTGAAGAGGTGGTTAGTGTCGTGCGGATACTCTCCACATACAGGGCATACGTTTTTGTAATTTGCTATTATTTATATAATTTTAAGTTGTTTGTATATCAATTTTTCATTCACATTTCTTGATTTCTTTTTTAAATTTTTATTTTTTTTTAAATATTTGCTG